AATTAGAGGTAACATTGTACTCTATAATTCTTGGGTTCACCTTCTATTCGATTCTGGCACATCACATTCTTTTATATCAACATCTTGTGTTAAATCGTTAGGTCTTGAATGTGAGCCTTTAGAAACTATTTTATGTATTGTATCACCTTTGGAAGGAAGTATCAGGGTAGGATTAATCTGTCTGGGGTGTGAGTTAGAAGTGTCAAGGTTACAGTTGAGTTGTGACCTTCGGATCATGAACATGTCCGATTTTGACATAATATTGGGTATGGATTGGTTATTCGCCCACCGAGCAGTGATTGATTACTACCAGAAGAAGGTGATGGCTTGCACACTTAGTGGACATGTTTCCAATTTAAGGGGGATAGAGAGGATTCCCTGAGCACGACAAATCGTAAAACATGGTGGCATAATCAATTTGTTGGGTGGTTAACAAGTTTGATCATTAATGAAGAAGCCCGATCAGAATTAAATCTTCTGCGTGTAGTTTGTAAATATGCTAATGTTTTTCCCGAGAAATTGGCAGGATTACTGCCACATCGTGATGTAGATTTTAGTATCGAGTTACAAACGGGTACTGAACCCATATCCACGACGCCCCACCGTATGGGTCTTGCTGAAATTCGGGAATTGAAAATGCAACTATAAGAATTACTAGAAAAAGGATTTATCTGACCAAGTACCTCACCGTAGGAAGCACCAGTTCTCTTTGCAAAGAAAAATGATAGAACATTGAGATTGTGCATAAATTATAGGCAACTCAATCGGGTGACGATCAAGAACCAATATCCACTTCCATGGATTGATGACCTATTTGACCAACTTTGAGGTTCAAAGTGTTATTCAAAGATTGATCTTAGATCCGACTATCACCAATTGTGGATCACGGATGATGATATACCAAAGACTACTTTCCAAACCCGATATGGCCACTACGAATTTGTGGTAATGCCCTTTGGATTAACCAATGCACCGGCCGTGTTCATGAGCTTGATGAATAAGATTTTTACTCCGTACTTGGACCAGTTTGTGGTAGTGTTTATTGATGACATTCTAGTCTATTCACCGTCTGAAGAAGAACACGAGCAACACGTGAGAATGGTTCTCCAGGTTTTAAGAGACAACCAGCTATACTCGAAAGCAAGTAAATACGAGTTCTGGTTGAAGGAAGTCAAATTTTTGGGACATGTTGTGTTTTAGCACAGGATTGCAGTAGACCTGGCCAAGATAGATGTGAAGCCCCCGAAAATATGTATTCACTTTGAAAACCCTAATGTTGAATTTTTTCTTAAAGCCCCTCGTTTACTTGAATTAATTCGAATCTCGTCTGTTAGCATTTCTATTTTTATCAAAACAAAAATTTCCCTGACAGGATTAGGTTCCCTAACCTAATTTAATTGTACCTAAGTTACATGTATTTAACTCCAAGCCCTCACTCTTTATTTAAATTCAAAACTTGCCCCAAACTAGTACTTGTACCTTGTACCTTGAAGTACCATCAATCATGCTATATATATAAGAGTTTTCAATTATTTATTTATTTATTTTTTTAATCTGTTCATGATAGTTTTTTATTAGATTTTTCAACTAGAGTTGTATGGTACTAAATTGAATCTGTATGGTACTATTAGATTTTTTTGAATCTGTTAATTGATTTTTCAACTAGAGTTTTCAATTATTTATTTATTTATTTTTTTAATCTGTTCATGATAGTTTTTTATTAGATTTTTCAACTAGAGTTGTATGGTACTAAATTGAATCTGTATGGTACTATTAGATTTTTTTGAATCTGTTAATTGATTTTTCAACTAGAGTTTTCAATTATTTATTTATTTATTTTTTTAATCTGTTCATGATAGTTTTTTATTAGATTTTTCAACTAGAGTTGTATGGTACTAAATTGAATCTGTATGGTACTATTAGATTTTTTTGAATCTGTTAATTGATTTTTCAACTAGAGTTTTCAATTATTTATTTATTTATTTTTTTAATCTGTTCATGATAGTTTTTTATTAGATTTTTCAACTAGAGTTGTATGGTACTAAATTGAATCTGTATGGTACTATTAGATTTTTTTGAATCTGTTAATTGATTTTTCAACTAGAGTTTTCAATTATTTATTTATTTATTTTTTTAATCTGTTCATGATAGTTTTTTATTAGATTTTTCAACTAGAGTTGTATGGTACTAAATTGAATCTGTATGGTACTATTAGATTTTTTTGAATCTGTTAATTGATTTTTCAACTAGAGTTTTCAATTATTTATTTATTTATTTTTTTAATCTGTTCATGATAGTTTTTTATTAGATTTTTCAACTAGAGTTGTATGGTACTAAATTGAATCTGTATGGTACTATTAGATTTTTTTGAATCTGTTAATTGATTTTTCAACTAGAGTTTTCAATTATTTATTTATTTATTTTTTTAATCTGTTCATGATAGTTTTTTATTAGATTTTTCAACTAGAGTTGTATGGTACTAAATTGAATCTGTATGGTACTATTAGATTTTTTTGAATCTGTTAATTGATTTTTCAACTAGAGTTTTCAATTATTTATTTATTTATTTTTTTAATCTGTTCATGATAGTTTTTTATTAGATTTTTCAACTAGAGTTGTATGGTACTAAATTGAATCTGTATGGTACTATTAGATTTTTTTGAATCTGTTAATTGATTTTTCAACTAGAGTTTTCAATTATTTATTTATTTATTTTTTTAATCTGTTCATGATAGTTTTTTATTAGATTTTTCAACTAGAGTTGTATGGTACTAAATTGAATCTGTATGGTACTATTAGATTTTTTTGAATCTGTTAATTGATTTTTCAACTAGAGTTTTCAATTATTTATTTATTTATTTTTTTAATCTGTTCATGATAGTTTTTTATTAGATTTTTCAACTAGAGTTGTATGGTACTAAATTGAATCTGTATGGTACTATTAGATTTTTTTGAATCTGTTAATTGATTTTTCAACTAGAGTTTTCAATTATTTATTTATTTATTTTTTTAATCTGTTCATGATAGTTTTTTATTAGATTTTTCAACTAGAGTTGTATGGTGCTAAATTGAATCTGTATAGTACTATTAGATTTTTTTGAATCTGTTAATTGATTTTTCAACTAGAGTTTTCAATTATTTATTTATTTATTTTTTTAATCTGTTCATGATAGTTTTTTATTAGATTTTTCAACTAGAGTTGTATGGTGCTAAATTGAATCTGTATAGTACTATTAGATTTTTTTGAATCTGTTAATTGATTTTTCAACTAGAGTTTTCAATTATTTATTTATTTATTTTTTTAATCTGTTCATGATAGTTTTTTATTAGATTTTTCAACTAGAGTTGTATGGTGCTAAATTGAATCTGTATAGTACTATTAGATTTTTTTGAATCTGTTAATTGATTTTTCAACTAGAGTTTTCAATTATTTATTTATTTATTTTTTTAATCTGTTCATGATAGTTTTTTATTAGATTTTTCAACTAGAGTTGTATGGTGCTAAATTGAATCTGTATAGTACTATTAGATTTTTTTGAATCTGTTAATTGATTTTTCAACTAGAGTTTTCAATTATTTATTTATTTATTTTTTTAATCTGTTCATGATAGTTTTTTATTAGATTTTTCAACTAGAGTTGTATGGTGCTAAATTGAATCTGTATAGTACTATTAGATTTTTTTGAATCTGTTAATTGATTTTTCAACTAGAGTTTTCAATTATTTATTTATTTATTTTTTTAATCTGTTCATGATAGTTTTTTATTAGATTTTTCAACTAGAGTTGTATGGTGCTAAATTGAATCTGTATAGTACTATTAGATTTTTTTGAATCTGTTAATTGATTTTTCAACTAGAGTTTTCAATTATTTATTTATTTATTTTTTTAATCTGTTCATGATTTTTTTTTATTAGATTTTTCAACTAGAGTTGTATGGTGCTAAATTGAATCTGTATAGTACTATTAGATTTTTTTGAATCTGTTAATTGATTTTTCAACTAGAGTTTTCAATTAGATTTCTTTTTTTGAATCTGTTTATTAGAGTTGTATGGTACTAAATTGTAGGTAATGGAAGAAAATAATGTTGTTGATGAGTTGGGTAGTTGTGGTTAGAAGCCGAAATTGGGCATGTCATTTGACTCTGAACAAGCTGCGTATGACTTTTACAATAACTATAGCAGGAAGGTTGGTTTTAGTATTAGGAAGTCGTATGCACACAAGAACAAACAAATTAAGGAAAAAACTTCACAGACTTTTGTATGTTACAAAGAGGGAACTCAAGGTATTGACAAGCGAGATCCACTAGTAAAATTTTCGAGACAAGAGGTGAGATGTGGTTGTGGTGCCCGATTGAGTATCAAATTAGATAGAAATTTAGGAAAATATATTGCAATTGATTTTGTCACCATAATCATGACCTTGTGCATCAAGAGTGCATTCATATGTTGCCATCCCAAAGAAAAATATCTATCACCCAAGCAATTGAAGTAGAATTGGCTTCAGAATCTAGAATTCCTCTTAGATCTGCTTATGAGCTATTTGGTAGGGAATCTGGTGGAAGAGCAACACTTGGCTTCACGAAATTGGACCAAAAAAATTACTTGAGATCGAAGAGACAAAAGGATTTGAAATATAGAGAAGCGGGTAGTGTGTTACAATACTTTCGTAAGAACACTATGGAAAATCCATCTTTTTATTACGCAGTCCAATTAGATTGTGAAGAGCGGATAAGTAATATATTTTGGGCCGATGCTCAAATGATAATGGACTATGTTCAATTTGGTGATATAGTGACCTTTGACACTACTTACAAATTAAATAATGAGCATAGACCTTTTGGAACCTTTGTTGGATTTAATCATCATCGAGAAATAGTTATATTCGGTCCAACATTGATGTATGATGAGACTGCTGAATTATTTACATGGTTGTTTCAGATTTTTTTTGAGGCAATGTCAAACAAAGCTCTGAAAACTATTTTCACAGATCAAGATACTGCGATGGCTAAGGGCATTCCAATTGTCATGCCTACTACAAACCACCAACTTTGCACATGGCATTTGATGCAAAATGCGGAGAAGCATGTAAGTTCTCTTTTTGAAGATGTAGGGGTGAAGGGCGTGTTTTCTAAATTTATGCATGAAATTGATGATGAAGAAGAATTTAGAATACAATTGGAACAAATGCTTGATAGGTATGATGCACGCAACAATCTTTGGTTGGAGCAAACTTTTGGTGTGAAGGAGAAATGGGAATGGCCATATGTAATAAATTCTTGGGCAGCTGGAATGAGTACTACTCAACTAAGTGAATCCTTCAATGCATTTTTGAAGGATTATCTCAATTGTGATCATAGCTTGATAGAATTTTTCATGCATTTTGAGAGGGTGCTCTATGACAAGAGATATAAAGAATTAGAAGCCGAGTATAATTTGTCCCAAAAATTGCCAAGGGTTTCAATTCCAACTTTGATGTTAAAGCAAGTGGCACAGATTTACACCAAAACAATTTTTGAGGAATTCCAAAATGAGTACGTGCAGTCCATTAAAGCGTCCATTGTAGGCACTATTAATGACGGTGAGAGTATCATATTCACAATTAGAACGGTGGTAAATGAAAAAAAAAAAAAAAAAGAATGTGACAATGGATAGAGATGGTTCTTTGAGTTGTAGTTACAAGAAGTTTGAAGTAAAGGGCATATTGTGTCAACATTGTCTGAAAGTGCTTAGAGATATATTCAATGCAACAGACCTTCCTCCACAATACATACTGAAACGTTGGACTAAAAAAGCAGGGGCTGAATACGTGAAGGATAGTTGTGGGTATGATGTCAAGGCTGATGTGAAACTGCATCAAAGCAACCGATATAGGTCATTGATGAATATGTTTAGAGCAATAGCAAGTAGAGCTGCTGAAAATGAAGAAACTTATCATTTGTCACTTGTAAAAGGTGAAGAATTGAGTGTAATGGTTGAAGACAAATTAAGTGTGCACACTTGTGGTTAAGTGGAGGTCATTAAATTGAGAAATTCCTCAACTAACACATGCCCACAGAGTGATGAAGTAGATTGTCCAATCCAAGCTAAGGAACTGAAGAAACGACAGGCAACTAGCAAGGGAAAAAGGAGGATTAAGGGCAGAATGGAAAAATCTATTGTGAAAAAGAAAATAATGCAATCGAAGCAGGTAATTAATTTTGTTATGTGTGATTGTTATGTGTTATGTGATATGTGTTATCAATTTTATGTTATGTGTGTTTGGATAAATAAATTGGTTGTTTGCAGGGTGATGGTTTTTGTACTCCCAAAAGTCAATCTACAGGGATGGCAATATTAACCCGGCCCAACGGGGACCCGGACCGCCCCGTCCCGATAAATAGGTTTTTCGCCGAAAATTATTCCCCGTAGGGCCGGGGCTGGTATTGAAAAATACATCCCCGATAATTTTCGGGCCAGGGACGGGGATTAATTTCTCGGCCCCGGCCCTGCCCCGAAGTTTCCCCGAAGCTTCCTCGCATATATTATATACTACCTATTAGTTGTATTATAATTACATATTTCTCTCTCATCTCACTCTTTCACTCTGACTCTCATCTTACTCTCTCAACTCTCTGTGTGTCTCGTTCTTCTCTCCCTCACTCTCTCTCAACTCTCGTTCTTCTCTCCCTCACTCTCTCTTGTCTCTCTGTCAACTCTCTCTCTCACAGTCACCGACACACGGTGACACCACCACCGCTGGTCCCGACCCCCCCTCCTCCCCAACGCTGTCGTCACTCTATCACGGCGATTTGCGCAGCTACAGCGCGGTCGTCCCTCTATCACGGCGATCTGCATAGCTGCAGCGCCATCACGGCGATCTGTACATTTTGAGCTCAGTAGGTCTCTGGAGACTCTGAATCTCAACAACAATCTCATTTGGGGTCCAATCCCAGATCAGATTTCTCAGTTTGGGTCATTGAAAATGCTTGATTTGAGTGGAAACCATGTTGAAGGGAGATCAGATCAGATCAGATTTCTCACTCTCTTTTTATTTTTTATTTTTTATTTTTTACATTTTGAGCT